TAGAATAGAATAGAATAGAATAGAATAGAATAGAATAGAATAGAATAGAATACTTTATTGGCTAAATGTGATTGGACAAACAAGGAATTTGTCTTGGTGTAAATACTCTCAGTATTCATAAAAGAAAAGATACATTTGTCAGGAGTCGAGAATCATAAGGTACGACACTTAATGATAGTCACAGGGTACAATAAGCAATCAATCATACTAGGAAACAGTCAACATAAATCATAAGTATACAAGCAACAGAGTTACAGTCATACAGTAGTGGGAGGGGATGGGTGGTAAGGAGTGATGACAAGATTAACAGTAATAGTAGTGCAGACTTTGTAATAGCTGAACAGGGTTGAGGGAATTATTTGTTTAGCAGAGTGATGGCTTTCGGGAAAAAACTGTTCTTGTGTCTAGTTGTTCTGGTGTGCAATGCTCTACTCTACAGTGTCATTTTGAGAGAAGGAGTTGAAACAGTTTATGTCTGGGAAGTGAGGGGTCTGTAAATATTTTCACAGCCGTCTTTTTGACTCGTGCAGTATACAGGTCCTCGATTGAAGGCAGGTGGGTAGTAATTGTTTTTTCTGCAGTCCTAATTATCTGAAGTCTGTGTCTGTCCTGTTGGGTTGCAGAACCAAACCAGACAGTTATAGAGGTGCAGATGACAGACTCAATCATTCCTCTGTAGAACTGGATCAGCAGCTCCTTGGGCAGTTTGAGCTTCCTGAGTTGGCACAAAAAGAACTTAGAACTTTATGTGGATTAGAGAGACATGTAAACTGTACATATGAAAACAACTAAATGTCAGAAAGAAGGCAGAAATAAGGCACAAACCTGATTCAAAACTCTGATCACACTCACAAATTGCTTGGTAGTCTATAGTTATTCAACCCTACACACAAATGGCCCTTTCCTTCTTTTTTTTAAAACAAGTTTTATTAATTTTTAAAACACACAAATTGTCATTATTCATTACATGTTTAAACCTTTTTTCATTGTCAATTTAACAAGTCAGATAAATTATAATTCTGTTTTAAACCATTTCCATACAACATACCAAAACCTCTTATTCAATTTCTCTTTACTTCTCTTTACTCTTATTCAATATCATTATTATTATTTCATCTGTTTCTTTCTGACTTAGTTACCATTATTCTCAATCTATATTTCTACAATTTTTAACTAATTCTCCCCCCAAAAAGACATATACACACAACACACAAAACATAAAAAAAAATCTTTTTGGAAAGTAACTTGGACCCAGGTGTCTCTCTCTTCATGGACTTCAATTATATTCATGCTCATCTTACATATCATTACTTATTTTATTTACCATTCTAAGCCTTCTATATTAACTTCCCCACATATTTCACACTTCTTACTTCTATCTTAATTAATCATCTTAATTTGAATCATTATATTTATATCTTTTGTCCATTTTTTATCATCCCTTTGTCTCATTCCTTAAAAAAAAAGAAAATAAGTTTCTCCTGAAATCATTAATCAGAGTATGATGCCTTTCTATCTCCCCCCTAAGTTAATCAAATTAATCTTTAAAATAATATCTAATACCCAATCCGATTTTGCTTGGTACATTCTATCTAACTAATACATCCAACATAATTAAGTACATAATTAGACAATAAATCCAAATATTAAAAAAAGATACTATAATAAAAATTTTATAATAACATCAATACCATAGTCTTATTAAACTCTTTAATTAAAACAATATTCTAAACCTCCCCTATTATTAGGTTTTAAAGCCAATCATTTTTAAACATTTTAACATTTTAATCTCTTATCAACTCTTAAATCATTACAATACTACCATCTCATCTTATGTACCTTGCAAAATCTTTTTTTTTAAAAAAAAATTATACTTTATCCATTATCCAAGAAAAATTTCTTTTTTTCATTTAATTTCAAAACATTGTAGCTTTTCTCCACCTTTTCCCTTTCTTTCTTCTCCCAACAAACCTTTCTACCCCCCCTTCTTCTAGCCTCTGCCTTGCCAGCTTCCCTTCTCTGTCGTATTCCTTTTCCCTTTTGTTTACTATCATCATATTGGTTTTGCACCTTATTTTTCCCTTTCTTAAATGTTTTTTTAGATCTTAAGTCCTTAAGTCCTTTAATTTTCTTCTTTTCTCTTCTTTTCTTTTCTTTCTCTCTTCCTTCTTTCTGGATCAAGTTCTGAGATTCATTAAAAATGGCTCCTTTCTTTCTTTCTTGTTCCTCTGCTGTCTTCATCTGTTGTAATGTTTGTTGATAATTAATAAGCGCCATTTCTAAGAAAAGGAAAGCTTCTTCCACACCATCTTTACCATTTTTTTTTGCTTGTTCATATTCTTTTCTTAGTTCCTCAACAGAAAGAGCCATTATAAATCTTTTCTTTTCTTTTCCCCTTCTTTCTTCTTACAACAACCAGAATATTCAAAAGAAAATAAAAAAAAGTAAAACAGTCCCAAAGTTATCAGTCAGTCCAAACCAAGGCAGAGTTCTCACTTTCTCCTTCTGGGGTAATATCAATCCAAGAGAAAGAAATTCCAAATCTGTTTAAAATCTTATTGCAATATATTCTAGTCTTCAAATCCTTAAGGCATCTGCTCCAACAAAGTCTTAGCATACAAATGTTTTCTTTTTAATCCTCTCTCTTCCCACTCATCGCTTAAAACCAATTTTCACCTAAAAGAAATAGGTTTCTTAATATCCAGTTATTTATTCCGTAGGAAAAGAGGGAAAGCTATCCTTTCAGCACCTTCAAACAGCCGCTTTTTTCCTCTTCTGGCAGGTATTATTCAGAAAGTCATACTTTTCAGGAATTTTATTAAATATGTCTTAGAGTCCTAGGAGCCAAGAAAAACTTTCTCCTCTCAATCACTTTCTCCACTTCCTCCTGCGCATTCTTACCCGGCTGCCAGCTTCTTTGTGGCGGCCATTACAGACCGCCGCTGCACCGTCCTGGGAAAAGGGAGTTCTGCCGGCCAGGGAGGGAGTCTGCAGCACCCCCAAACCCTTCTCCGGATCCCCCTACCTTCAGCTGCCCCTGCAGGGCAGCCTAGCTCCGTACCCGGCTGGGTCGGAGCCCCAAAAACGGCTAGCGCGGCAGGGATCGCGCAGCTTCGCAAATCCCTGCCGCTCGCGAAGCCGACAAACCGGAAGTTTTTCAAATGGCCCTTTCCTTCTGAGGAAGTCTCAGTCGTACATATGACCCAGAGATGGGGAATGGGAGTAGTCAGCTCCCAACTCACATGCTATAGTAATCTGTTTCCATAACTCCTGAATAGGCCTACTACTCCCGTTATGAGATATTGGCAATCCTACAGTATGTATCTGCCCAGTCCATTTACTGAGTCCATTTACTAAGGTTGCAACTATCATGAATTAAAAGGGAAACGTCAAATCAATGCCAAATATTTCTGCTGTGTTTTCAGGGATTGAGAAATGTGGTCATTGATAGGTTCAACCAGCATGTCTCATTCATATTCTATGATTCAACTGTTACTGTAAAGCCATGGCTGAAAGGAAATGGGCCTGATCCACCATATAAACGAGACTTATAGTACTGCTGCAGTGGCTTTTTGTGGTGCTCAGTTCAATGACCTTACAGATATCCAGAGCACTGAAATGGGGTTCTATCCTTAATGACAATCAATTGCTTAAAAATTTCATATGATAGGCTCCCTGACACCCCCCACAAACCTCATTTTTAAAGCTTTAGTGGTGTGTGTCAGTGCATTTCTGCAGAGTTTATGTAATGCTTTAATTACATAATTCAGAAAGCTTCTGATGACTTAAAACACTTAACCGGAAACTGTCCTTTATTGTTCCACTGACAGAAAATTCCCTGGAGATTAAACTAGAGCCCCTGATTTACAAATGATATATTATATTCCATACCCGAATAATATGTCTATTTCAGAGGTGGTATTCAGCAAGTTCTGACCAGTTTTAGAGAACCAGTAGTGGAAATTTTAAGTAGTTCGGAGAACCGGCAAATACCACCTCTGACTGGCCCCGCCCACATCTATTCTCTGCCTCCCGAGTCCCAGCTGATCGGCTGGGTCTTCTTTTGTTGCCCTGCACAGGAGAACGGAGCTGGAAAGCAAGTTAGTGGGGTGGGGAGGGAATGGGGTTTTGCAGTAACCTTCCCCCAGGAGTGGGGAGGGAATGGAGATTTTACAATATCCTTCCCCTGCCATGCCCACCAAGCCACATTTATAGAAATGGTAGTAAAAAAAAATTGAATCCCACCACTGGTCTATTTCTAATTTTAAGTTGTCTCAGAACTGTGGTAATTGTACTGTTAGGGAGCTATGGGTGAAGGATCTAAATTAAAATATTGATAACTTTAGAAGAGAATATTAGTAACTCAGAGTTGAACTGGGAGCCTTTGGTACTTTCTGGGTTTGATTGTTTTCTTGCAGATGTTACCAATCTAGTCAACATCACCAGTGTTAGTAGGGAGTGGCATTTGCTGTCATTTTATATACTACCGGTTTGCCATGTCAGTGTTGGTGGGGAATGGTCTTAGAGCAGGGGTGGGCAAACTACGGCCCGCGTGCCACATCCGGCCCATTGGTCATTTTAATACGGCCCGCCTCTGAAAAAAAAAATTCCCCTCTGAAAAAAAAATTGGGGCCAGCCAAAAGAGACCCCGCGCCACGCGCCAAAAAATCGCACACACAACACGGAGCTGGGCAGCCGCTTCCCTGGTAGCAGGGCCAAGGCCGCCACCCGGGGAACGCCCACTGCTTTCCCTCGCCAGGGCTGGGTGGTGGCGTGTTGCCCTGCACTGTGTGGCCCCTGCCTGGCAGCGCGCTTCTCAGCTGGTCTCCTCCTCCTCGGACATACAGAACAAACAGGCAGAGAAGGAGGAGACCAGCCGGCTGGTTGGGGGAAGCTTTCTGCGCCGAAAGAGGCAGCTACTAATCTCTGGCTTTGCTCCGCTTCTCCAATGGTCCGGCACCACCCTGTTCTTCTTGTGCTGCGAAAGAGGCGGCTAATGATCTCCAGCTCCGCTCTGCTTCTCCAACATCCAGCGCCACCCTGTTCTGTGTCAGGCCCAGCAAGTCCGAGCAGCTGGCGCACAGAACAGGGCGGCGCCAGATGTTGGAGAAGCAGAGCGGAGCTGGAGATCATTAGCCGCCTCTTTCGCAGCACAAGAAGCCTCCCCCAACTGGCCAGGTGCTCTCCTCCTTCTCTGCCTCCTTCTCTGCCTCTCCCCTCTTGCTCCTCACAGTTGCCCTGAGCTGGTGCGGTTCTTTACTTGGGCAGCCAGACGCCCGCAGCAGCGCCCGCAGCAGCAACAGGCAGTTCTGCCCGGGCTCCGCTCAGGTGTCCGGCTGGGGCTGTCAGGAGTTGCTACCGCCGGTGCAGCTCCGCGTGGCTCCAGTCCCGCGTTGCCTTGGGAAGGGAAAGGCAAAACCAGGAGCCGCTGAGCCTGAGCCTCCGGTGCCGCTGCTGTCATTGCAAAGCACCACCGCGGCTCTTCCTTTTTGCCTTTCCCTTCCCAAGGCAACGCGGGACTGGAGCCGCGTGTAGCCGTGCCGGCGGTAGCAACTCCTGACTCAGGGGGCCTCCGAGGGGAGGGGAAGGAGGAGAAGAAGGGGGGAAGGGGGGGCGATTCCCAAAAAATCTTGTGCTGACCCAGCCCGTCTGTCAAATTTTAAAAGTCAATGCGGCCCCCCGAGCCAAAAAGTTTGCCCACCCCTGTCTTAGAGGTTCCTTGATTAGGCTATTGTTTGCTGTTAGCTTGTTTGTCTGAGATAGTGGTTTGGAGGTATTGTTTACTAGATTGTTAGGTTATTTTGGATTATGTTAAAACATAATATTTAGCTTTTCAGCCTTTAAAACCTGGATCAAGTAATCATTCAACAGGTATAGATTAATACTAGACCAACAATCAAGAAGCAAACAAACAAAAAATTGCTTCCAGCAAAGGCTTTTTAAATATAGCTAGCCAGATGTGTTATGAACTCAAAGCCTGGAATTTGAAAGCATAACATTTCAGCCAATAGATTGGCTTATGTAAAACTTAAAAAAATATTTAAGGCAGCCCAACATCTTATCTTGTATGACAGCGAGTACCATGGATGAACATCTGCTCTTCAAGAGAAACTCCTAAGTTCAGTTCTTGTCATCTCCAGTTAAATGATTGATTGTAATAAGAGAGATTCCTGCTTGACACATTGGAGAGTCACTAATTTAGATTAGATAATCCAGTAGAATGCTAATTTTTGTTTTTTCCTCCTTTATAAATAGAAACCAGTCCTGGATGCCCCTTATATTGAAGCCCACCACCGAGTCTGTACATATAATGAGACCAAACTGATGACAGTGAACCTGCCAAATTGTGCTACCAAAGTTGATCCTCTCTTCACATACCCCAAAGCCATCCGCTGTGACTGCAGTGTGTGCCTTACCACAACCACAGAATGTGAGACTACCTGAACACTTCATCTGATCAAGAACACTTTCTGGGTCAAATATTCTCTCCAGGTGAAGACTACAATAGGACAACGATAATAGATCATAGTGATGCTCATTAGGAAGGTGTAACTACCTAGTTCTGAAGCTTTTCTTCTGTTTCCCAGCTTTAAATAGATCTGAGTAACTTGCAATTTTCATTCCATTCCATTCCTTTTCAGTATAGTTGTACTGTTAATGTCTTTTCAATTATTGTCAATTTTATATAGATTAGAATTTCTTTGGGATCATTTCATCAGAAATTTGCATAAATCCCAAACTGTATTTTCTATTTGCTTCCTGATATTATCCCCAGGATGTTCTGAAAGTAGTATAAATATGACCCAAGTTTGCATTTGCACTTTAACATTTTTAGAGGACCAGTTAGAACCCTTTAAATATATACCAAAGTGTACTCACACACTACATTTAATGCATGGGTGGTACATTATCCAACATTCTTAATTTGACAACTGAACGAATTCATTCTGGGGATTTGTGCAATATACTGAATTATAAACGAAACAAAAAGCAGCATTTGTATATCAGTAGCCACAAAACTCTAACCATAATTTAAACTAACTAGGTTTAGCATGTTGTGCAAATGCAAGACATTGAACATTGGCTGACTTGAAAAAGCATGTATGAATATAGCCATGTACTTACATGGTCTATTTGTTAGAGTTATGATCAAGCTATGCTGATATGCAAGATAAAGGAACATGTAAAAGAGACACAAGATAATCATGTTTGCTCTATCATCCCTTTCCCCCATTCTTATATATTTGCATAACTTACACTTAATAGATTCATAACTTACACTTAATAAATTCAAGAATTCTACTTGCTGATCTTCCTATTCAAGTAAAGGGAGGTTGTGGACATAGAAGGCAAGCTGGCACATTCAAAAATGGGAGAGGGGGATGATATAGCAAACATAATTATCTTGTGTCTCCTTGCTGAAAATGTGCATATATATTTGTAGATTAGGCTTCAGATGTACATTTAGATTTACATTTAGATGAACTATTCACTGATTATGGATCTGCATACCAGAACAATTTTCAGATACAAAGGATGAAATATCTTTTTTTCTACCAAAAAATGTTTCTTCGCTGAAAGGACCGGCACAAGACATTGAATCTACAATGCTGAAACAGTAGTCATTATTCTAAATTAACAAAGGGGGGATGTGGGAGGGATTCAGGCTCATAAAAATGCTGCAGCTCTTTTGCAGAGAAAGAGCTCCTAATTTGTTCACTTAGGCTTGGATGAATAAGAGTGTGACTCTGGAAAAGTATTCATTAAACCAGAAGGTAGTTGGTGATATATAATTTATCAACTAAAAACCTTACTTCTGAAAACTAAATAAAAAGTCAAGGGGTTTTATTGCCAAGAATTTATTCAATAATGGAAGAGAGAATATAATGCAATCAGAACAATTAAGATAATATGTGATTTTAAATAGGTTAAAAAGAAAGGACATGGAGAACAGAGTTAAAAATGTATTTATCTGTGAGCATCTATTCTTGGGCGCTGGGTTCCATCATACAATTGTGCAACATGGTAATTCTTCCTTGCCTCTTTAACCTTACGGCCTCAACACAGATAAAGATAAAATGTCCCAAAGGTGCTTCTTCAGGACACAACTGGACTTCCTTGTTTTTCTTTGAAAACGTTTCGCTTCTTATTCAAGAAGCTTCTTCAGTTCTGACAGGACAGTGGGGAATGGAAGGATTTATGTTCCTTGCAGATAGCTGGTCAAGGAATATAAATCCTTCCATTCCCCACCACTCAGTCAGAGCTGAGGAAGCTTCTTTGATGAGAAGCGAAACGTGTTCAAAGAAAAACAACAACAAGGAAGTCCAGTTGCCTCCTGAAAAAGCCCCTTTGGGACAACCACGACCTGGGTGACTCAGAATCTCTCTAGACCAGGGGTGTCCAACCTTGGCAACTTTAAGACTTGTGGACTTCAACTCCCAGAATTTCTCAGCCAGCTTTGCTGGGAGTTGAAGTCCACAAGTCTTAAAGTTGCCAAGGTTGGACACCCCTGCTCTAAACACATAAAGATAAAACATAACAAAATGTGAATCTACGTTAACATAA